TGGACAGAGCCTCCTCTAAGAAGCATGGTCTTCCAGCAGACGGAGGGGGGGACACTCTGAGGAGCAGGTATCAGAGTTCTCTTCATGAAGGTAATTTTTGAATGAATGTGTATTTCTGCTCATGTAATTTCTGACAGGCAGCTGTCTGCAGCACTGAGCGTCTTTACAATGTTCCAATCTGTTGGTTTGGCGTATTCGAGTACAGCCGGCCAGCGGTGCACGCTGTGCTTTCTACTACGCACTCAAAACATAATTAAATTGAATTAAATCCAGCTGAAAAGGTTGTTTTCTGTGGGGGGACATGATGTTCTGAGGTTTCCACATGCTTTATTAGTGCTGCAGAGACCTCTGACTGCATTTCATTCTGCTTCAATTTCTTTTTTGTTGTTCCGCCGTGGGACTGGAGATGTTTGTGACAGTGTGCACGGGGCTGCACAAAGGCTGGCTGGGTTAGGGTTAGGGCACCGTGGTGGCTGGTGAACCACGAAGGTGCAGTTGGGAAGAATCAAAACAAAATGAAATCACTGTTCAAGGAAAGGTGTTACAATTCTGGAAGTGATACGAATCACATGGACTCTACGAGAGTCTCACAGGAAACTAACAAAACAAAGGAAATACTGCTCAAATAAGAGTTTAAATATTTTATAGAAAATGTTATTAAAAATTTTGCTTTGAGTTAAACATGTATAAAAGGAGTTTCTAAACTCCCATCCATCACCAGGACGGAGTGATGTCTGTCCTGCTGGCTGAGATGAAAGATGGAAACAAGCTGCAGAGCCTTAATTCCAGATTATACAGGTCAGACCTGTCTGACAGCTCTGTCCCACAGACAGACTGAATGTCTCACAGATGGACAGCTTTGTCTCACAGATGGACAGATCAGTTTCTCTCCATCTAAACTTGTTTGTCTCTGAGAGGTTTACAGTTTTCAGGTGACCTACCTGTGGGTCTTAGTGACCTGGATCTTACGTCACGTCTGGTCTGATGTCTGTGATCTGTGTGCAGGAGGAGGCTAAGCTGCTGCAGGAGCTCCAGAACCACCTGGACTCACCGGAGAGGAGACTGGAGGTCTGGCTGCAGCTGCTGGAGAACCCCCCGTCAGACCAGACCGGTGAGAGAGACCACCTGTTTAATGTTAATTTAACTGAACTTGTCTGATTCATTTTTACACCAGTTTGTAACCTGTTTAAAATAATTTGTGTAATTAGTTGGTGATTAATTAAAAACATTAAGTTGTTCAGTTTGTGAATGAAGCCCTGAGACCAGAGCCTGGACCCAGACCCAGACCCCTGAGCCTGGAGCCGTTTATTCAACCGGTGATAAACCGCTAACAGAGAACTTTAGTGATTCTGTGTCTGAATCTAAATGAGTTTGAATCTAAATGAGTTTGAATCTAAATGAGTTTGAATCTAAATGAGTTTGTCTTAATCAGTCGTCACCTTTGAAAGCAGAGCCAGATAAATTTATTGAAGCTGCTCAAAGGAAGTTGAAAGGAAACAAATGAGTTTCCTGATCTCTGTCTTTGCACCACAATGAAAAGAAGCAGGAAGTAAATGAGCGATGACATCATCTCTGAGTCCTGGCTCTGACCTCAGAGTCTCGTTGTCCTCCGTGTGTTTCAGTCGGACCTCCTGCGGCTCAGCAGCCTGTCTGCTGACCCGGACGTCCTGAATGAGCTGAGCCTGACGCCGGAGCCACTGCTGCACACCACCTGCAGCACCTCGACCACCGCTGGCTCCACGCCTCCACCAGGGCCGAGGAGGCCTGCAGGTCAGTGGGTCGACAGGTGGAGGAGGGATATTTTATAGGAAAAAACATAACTAGGAACTTCCTGTAGAAATGTTGAAGGCATCTGACCTGAAAATCCAACATTCATCATCTTTATTCCTTAAAGCCAAAAAGAACTCGGCACTGCCTTTAAGATTCAGCCAAGCTTTGGTGTTTGAAAAGATTCATAAGAAGCTGAAACCGGATTGGACAGATTGAAGGAATCATTGGACTGACGTCTGCAACTGATTCTCTGGAGGCAACCTGATTCAAGATGGCTGCCACAGCTGGTCAGCTTTAGCCAACATAAACATGGCTGTAACTCAGTCAGTTTACACATACTAAGCTGAATGTTGGTGTGGTAGTAGCTGAAAGTCATCCCCAAAGCAGACTCTAAAGTGTTTCAGATTTTTCGGTGATCAGAAGGTTAAAACGGTCTTCTGAAGGTGAACCGTGACCTTTGGTCTCAGACATTGGTTTTTCAGATCACATTATTGGTTGGGTTTCTAATTATCTCTGACCAGATGCAATGTGTTCAACACAATGGTACTTCTTAAAGTTATTTAACTGTCAACACCGGGGTACCACAAGGCTCAGTCTTAGGACCCACTCTCTTTACAATCTACTTAAATAATGTAGGTCAGATCATTCCTGATGCACTCTTACATTTATATGCCAACGATACAGTACCGGTAGTTTATTGTCGAGCTAAATCGGTTACTAAGGTTTTCCAGCTTTTACAATCTGCATTCAACATCATCCAGTCAGATTTGTTCCGTCTCAAATTGGTGCTAAATGCTGATAAAACCAAAGGGATGTTGTTTTCATACAGGAAGTTGGTACCAGCAGTCCTTTCTCCTACCTTATCTACGAATGGAGTTTGTTAATTCCTACAAATACTTTGGTTGATGCACATCTCTCTTTTAAGCCTCATGTCGAAAACTTGATAAAGAAATTGGAATTAAAACTTGATTTCTTTTTCAGAAATGGATCTAGTTTTACTCTGAATGCTAGGAAACACCTTGTAACGGCCACTTTCCTTCCCTCCATTTATTGTGGTGACATTATTCACATGAATGCCTGCAAGCCCCTTGCAGATGTTGGACTCTGTCTATCATGGTGCACTAAGATTCATAAATGGCATGCAGACTCTCCCACTGATTTGTGTTGTGTTGTGTGTACCTCATCTGTTTTTTATTTTATTTTTTAAATCAGGTCTCTCTTGAAAATGAGTCCTTGTGACTCAATGAGACTAACCTGAATAAATAAAGTTTGAATGAATGGTGTGTTTGGCTTTGCAGGGAGCAGCAGACGAGCGGGAGCTGGATGGACGTCCTGCAGAGGACAGAGGACAGTGTGGACATCACCGGTTCTTACAGTGGCCTCAGGAAGCACCTCGGTGCTCACAGGGTATTAAACCCAGGCAGCCTCTCCATGATCAGCTCGTTCAGAAGCAGAGATGATGTTGTGTTGTGGTGTTTCAGAGGTTCCAGGTGGAGCTCACCGTCGCTCAGCAGATCCTCCGCTCAGTCATCAGACAGGCTGTGCAGCTCCTGCACACAGTGGAGGTGGAGGACAGGTGAGGAGCTCCGCCCTCTAAAAATCTACACAAAGCTTTGGAGGTCATTTCAGACACACTACGTGGACAGCTGGGGACCACAGGTTCTGTTAAATGGTTCAGAAGCATGTTTGAATGCTCCATCATCCAGGTAGACAAATCACAAACAAGGGTTAAATCAGGTCATCTGGGCAGTTTCTTTCTGGGAGAAACGTTTAGTGTTTCATCCGAAGGACTTCATCAGTCTGAGGCCTGCCAACCAGATCTGTCTTATATCACCTTGACGTGTTTCAAGCCAGCCCTCTGGAGTTCCCAGAAACTTTGGACCCTTTTTGCATGTGCAAAGCCAGTTTCTGGGAATTCACAGAAGGCTGACTTGAAACACATCAAGGTGATATTTATTTACAGATCTGGTTGGCAGGCCTCAGATTGATGAAGTCCTTCGGATGAAAGACTAAACGTTTCTCCCAGAAATAAACTGTCCAGATGATCTGATTTAACCCTTTTAGTGTTCTGTTAATGGCTCTACAGGGTTTAATGAGGAGTTAAACGGAGCCTTCACTTCCTGTTTGGAAGCTCAGATACAGTGGAAGTCGATGGGAGTTTGGATGTGTGACCTCTGACCTCTGAGACGCCATCAGTCCTGCAGCAAAGACACTCTGGGGGGAGGGGGAGATAACGGAGACTACAGTTTAGTGGAGAAAACTTGCCAGAGCGAGAAGAGTTTGTTAAAATGAGGGAAAGTTTAAAGTTATTCATATTGTTGAAATCCTCCATGCTCAGATGTGATTGTGTAAAATAATTGTGTTTAAGATGTGAAAGCAGCAGTTCACTTCCTGTGACCCGTTTCAACTCTGAGCGATGGTTCTGCTGTGCTGTAGATCCAAACAGGACTGGGTTTAACCCTCGGTGTTTGTCTTTGGGGCCGTTTTAATAGTTTCTAGAGAATTTAATCTCCGTTTTTGGAAGTTCTGCTACTAAAGTAAAAGCTCAGTGTTCCTGATGGTCCTCAGGATTTTGTGGGTTTTTGAAGCTGAAGGAGAAGCAGCAAGTTTAGAACGAAGACTTAAATTTGACGTCCTTCGTGGTTTACATCAGCCAGGAGCTTTACTTTTAGTTTGGATGACGTTACTTTCAGTAACTCCAAAGGTTGGTGTGAATGCCAGGTGATCAGTTTTTATGTCCTCCTTCCTTCTGACCTCCTAACGTTTGTCTGGTCCAGGAGGGACTTGGTCCTGAAGCTGGCCCAGCTCCAGGAGCTGTGGCGGGGGGCGGTCCAGCGAGCCGACCGCAGGAGCTCCACGATGGAGGAACTCCTGCAAACCTGGCATGTTTACAGCCGAGGTCTGAAGAAGCTGCAAACGTTCCTGTGGGACACACAGACCCTCCTTCCAACGCGCTGCAGCCTCTGGCAGCTCCGAGTCTTCCTGCAGGACCTCCAGGTGAGATGGACTGGACACAGGATCAACCAGGATCAGGTTCAGTTTAAACTCCCCAACAGAGTTGAAACTAGTCACATGATCAAAGAACAGGAAGTTGAAGATGATTGGTGGATTTTACAGCTGTCAGCTGATGTCAGAAACACTTCACTGCATTTACATCAGAATGAGAAGAAGTGATGAAAACTGATTAAAGTTACTTGGAGCTCCTCCTCAGAACTCTGATTCCTGCTCTCCTCAGGACATCGAGCGGCTGTTCCAGAACCATCAGACCACGTTCCTCCACACGCTGGAGCTGGGCCGGCAGATCTTCTCCATGGGAGACCAGGAAACCCAGAACCAGCTGCAGGAGGAGTGGGAGAACCTCCACAGCCTGCTGGAGACACGGATGGACCTCACTGAGGCCATCATCAAGGTGAGCAGCGATGACTTCCTGTGGTTCCACTGAGGAACGGTGTGACACGGTTCTTTTTGTTCAGATTCGTCTGAAGTGACATCTGAACCCGGTCTGCTGTGGTTCGGATCTAGTGATCCGTCAGCACTCAGAGTATGCTTTGGAGACAACTCTCAGCTACTACCAGGCCAGGTTTTAGCTCAGTGTCTATAAAAGTAACTGAGCTTTAGCTGTTTTTGTATTTCCTGTTAGTCAGTCAACGTTGGTCCTAAAGCTCTTGGTGGTTTGGGTTCTCCTTGTGTCGTGGCTGCAGGTGGAGGTAAACACTACTCTAAGTCCACCTGGACTTTTGGTCTAAAGATAAAGACGTGGTCCATCTGTCCCTCAGGGCTGCAGACACGTTAATCCAATCAGCTTTGATTAATGAGCCTCAGAATGTTAGAGACTAAAGAGACGAACTGGTTCTCACCGAGCCCCTGTGTGTTTCTGTGTTCCAGAACTGGGAGCGCTGTGAGGCCAGGATCACGATGATCCAGCTGCAGGAGCTGAGGAGCGAACTGGACCCGCAGCTGTCAGATTCTGGTTCTGACACGCAGAGTGAAGACGCATTCAACAAGGTTCCTTCTGCTCGCAAACACACCTGTCAGTCCTCGTTCAAAGGTGTTTCATGAGGACTGGACCGACCCGTTTCTGTGTAATGAGACCTGGGACCAGGTGTACTGCTGGACAGCTTAGATCCTCTCTGGGGTTCCACCGGTTTGGTCCAGTCAACCCCAACACAGAGCGAGCAGACTAGCACTCCTTAAGGAATGCATGCAGCCTGCTCAGAGTTCCTTTAGCCCTCAGAGCATGTGTTCGGGGTGACTCCCAGCTACTACCACAGCAGACAGTACACTTAGCCGAACTATAAAACTGTATAACCGTTAACGACACGTTTGGGTTTGCTGAAGTTAATTTGTTTGACCCAAACCTTCTGTGGAACTAAAAGCCTCTGAGGGGCCTCAGACTCAGGTTGTTTGATTAGTGGTCGGTTCTGATGAGTCCTGCAGGTTCTCAGGTCCACATTAAAGTTTCTATGGTGTCACTGACCTGCCCTGTCTTTAAACCAAAGACCAAAGGTGGCCTGACCCTAACCCACAGACCAAATGTTGGTCTGGACCCCTTTACACCACAAACCACACGTGGTCTGAGGGAACCCATGTTCACTGCAACTTCAGGCCCCTCAGAGCTGGATTTAGTGCAACCTGGTCACTAAAAATCATTTTTAATGGCAAGTCTGAACAACTCCTAAAAGTTGCTTGTGGTTCTGGTCCTGGTTCTGGTGGCAGCTTGTGGATCTGGTCCTGGTTCTGGTGGCGGCTTGTGGTTCTGGTGGCAGCTTGTGGTTCTGGTCCTGGATCTGGTGGTTGCTTGTGGTTCTGGTCCTGGTGGTTGCTTGTGGTTCTGGTCCTGGTTCTGGTGGCTTGTGGTTCTAGTCCTTGTTCTGGTGGCAGGTTGTGGTCCTGGTTCT